AATGCGGCAAAGAGGAAAATTTATAGTAGTCAATGTATATACTAGAAAAGAAGAAAGATTTAAAATCCATAATCTAAGCTTCTGCCTTAGGAAACTAGAAAAAGAAGAGTAGATTAAATCCAAAGCAATCAGCAGAAAAATAATAAAAATTAGGTAGTTCTCAATTAAATTGAAAACAAGAAATCAATAGCAAGTTTGCAGGATACAAGGTTAATGGAGTCAATTGCTTTTCTGTATGCTAGTGATGAACAAGTGGAATTTGAAATTAAAAACAATACAATTAGCACCCCCTAAAATGAAATATTTAGTTATGTATCTAACAAAATATGTATAAGACCTAAGTGAGGAAAAATACAAAACCTGATGAATGAAATCAAAGAACTAATAAATGGAGAGATAGTTCATGTTCATGACTAGGAAGACTTAATATTGTCAAAATGGTCTTCCCAAATTGACCTATAGATTTACTGCAATCCCAATCAAAATCCCAGCAAATTATTTTGTGGATGTAGACAAAATGATTCTGAAGTTTACATGGAGAGAGAAAGACGCATGATAGCTAACACAATATTGAAGGAGGCAGGGTTGTGGGACTGACATTACCCAACTTCAGGACTTCCTGTAAAGCTAAAGTAATCAAGACACTGTGATATTGATGAAAGAACAGATAACTGGAGCATAATAGCCCAGAAATAGGTCCACATAAATGTGGATACAGGCAACTGACCTTTGACAGAGGAGCAAAAGCAACACAACAGGACGAGAGTCTTTTCAACAAGTCAAACAACTGGACATCCACATGCAAAAAAAAAAAAAAAAAAAAAATCTAGACACAGACCTTACACCCTTAGCAAAAGTTAACTAAAAATGAATTGTAGGCCTAAATATAAAACACAAAACGATAAAAGTCCTGCAGTGTAACAACTTAAGAGAAAACCTAGATGACCTCTGATATGGCAATGACTCCTAAGATACAACACCAAGAGCATGGCCCATGAAAGAAAGAATTGGTAAGTTGAACTTCATTAAAATTAAACATTTCTGCCCTGTGTAAGTGTCAAGAGAAAGAAAAGACAAGTCACAGAGTGGGAGAAAATATCTGCAGAAGACACATCTGATAAAGCCCTGTTATCCAAAATATATAAAGAACTCTTAAAACTCAACAGTGAGAAAATGAACAGCCCAATTAAAAAGCAGACAGGGGCACCTCGGTGGCTCAGTCTGTTGAGCATCCAACTTCGGCTCAGGTCATGATCTCATGGTCTGTGAGTTCAAGCCCCACAGAGCCTGGAGCCTGCTTTGGATTCTGTGTGTGTGTGTGTGTGTGTGTGTGTGTGTGTGTGTGTGTGTTTCTCTCTGCTGCTCCCCCACTTGTGCTCTCCCTCTCTCTCAAAAATAAATAAACTTTGAAAAAAAAACTTAGAGCAGTGCAACCAAGAAATCTCTCCTGTTAACATCTGGCAAATACACTTTCAATCTCATTCATCTTTCCAAACCTTTTTTCTTATATTAGCCATTTTATTTTTTTTTAATTTTTTTTCAACGTTTATTTATTTTTGGGACAGAGAGAGACAGAGCATGAACAGGGGAGGGGCAGAGAGAGAGGGAGACACAGAATCGGAAACAGGCTCCAGGCTCTGAGCCATCAGCCCAGAGCCCGACTCGGGGCTCGAACTCACAGACCGTGAGATCGTGACCTGGCTGAAGTCGGACGCTTAACCGACTGCGCCACCCAGGCACCCCAATATTAGCCATTTTAAAAACAGTTTATTGGAGTAGAATTTACATACGAGATTAGCTTCTTTTACTAGTGATATACATGTAAGTATATCATGTGTTTCCATGTGTTTCCATGGCTTATAGCTCATTTCTTTTCAGCAGTGGATAATATTCCATTGTTTACAAGCACCACAGTTGACCTGCCTGTCACTCACTAGAGGACATTTTGGCTGCACCCAAGTTTTGGCAACATTTTTTTTTTAATTTCATTTTTAAGGGGCGCCTGGGTGACTCAGTCGGCTGAGCGTCCGACTTCAGTGCAGGTCATGATCTCATGGTTTGTGAGTTCGAGCCCTGTGTCAGGCTCTGTGCTGACAGCTCAGAGCCTGGAGCCTGCTTCGGATTCTGTGTCTCCCTCTCTACCCCTCCTGCACCTGCACTCTCTCAAAAGTAAATAAACATTCTTTGAGAGAGATTTCATTTCTAAGTAATCTTAACACGGGGCTTGAACTTACAACCCTGACATCAAGTATGCACGCTCTACAGACTGAGCCAGCTGGCATCCTCCCCCCGCAAGTTTTGGCGATTATAAAGGAAGATGCCATAAACATCTGAGTCCACAACTTTTCAACTCCTTTGGGTAAATACCAACAAGTATGACTCCTAGATCATACGGCAAGAGCATGTTTATTTAGCTTTGTAAGAAAACGTCAACCTGCACCTTAAACTTAAACCACAGTATATGTCAGTGGTATCTCGATAAAGTTGGGGGGGGGGATTGAAAACAATGCCAAAGTGTCTCCAAAGAGGCTGTACTATTTTGCGTTCCCACCAGCAGTGAACACGAGCTCCTGTTGTACCACATATTTGCCAGGATTTGGTGTGGCCAGTGAACTGTCAGTGTTTTGGATTTGGGCCATTCTAATAGGCGTGTGGCCTTAACTGGTTGTTGTTTCAATTTGCATTTCCCTAATGACATGCGACGTGGGGCATCTTTTCATATGCTTATTTACCATCTGTGGATCTTTTTTGGTGAGGTGTCCGTTCAGGGCTTTTGTCTACTTTTCTTTAATCTTTTTTTTTTTTTTT